CTCAGTCATTAGATCACACATTCATTACTTTGTACTTACTCAGTCATTAGAAATTACCTTGAATAACTGCATGGAGTAGTAACAATGATTTTTTTTTTGTATTTTCTTATACAAAACATTTTTGTTTGATAACTTTGTATTGAAGTCAGTGTTAGATTAAGTGTTGTGTATGTGGGAAGATGATCTCCAATGAATTTTATAAAGTTTTCACAAAATATATTAGCAGTCGTGTACCTTTTTTTACATCTGTAGCTGTCTTATTATGCTTTTTAGTCATACTTTTTTTTTACAAAACCTTGTGAATTATAACACAGTTTTCAGTTAAAGATAAAAATGGATTTTCAAAATTAAAGAACAAATAAGACCATCTTTTTTAACTCAGGTAAGAATACTCATAATCTACAAGTGGTGCGAGGAAGATCTTTAGCTCAAGAATACAACCCTAAGACTATAAAATTTCAAGATATTGGTAAGTTTTACATAAATTTGTATGTGATATTGGACTCTCAACTAAATTTAAATTTGAGACATAACAGATTAGTCCTTTATGTACAGTCTTTCAATGATATTAATATATATATATATAGTAAAGGCAATATTTATGCAAGAAAAACAGTAATAAAATAACCCTGAACTGGTACATTGTCACTACAGGAAATCAAATCTGTGCTTTGTGTGGGTAAAAAAAACATTTTACATTCTTTTATACCACATACAAGTCAAAACCAACACTATTCTATTTTATTTCTGTAATATTCTAATATGGATTATCTTTTTTATTCAGCTTTGTAAATCTCTAAGTTCACTGCTCAAAGTAGTAAATTAAAAAGTGGCACTTCAGTTAACCAAATTTTTGCAGGGTCAGTCCGATTGATTATCTCCACATTGGAGAAAACATGTTGACTCATTCTAAATTTACTAGATGTATTTATATGAAATGTAGCAAGCTTTTAGTCAAATGTACAAGTCTTTTGTACAAAAAAAAATCAACTGTGTTACAAATGTATTTGTACTCAAGATGTATCTGTAAATTGAAAACATCAGACTGACTCAGACTCTGGCAAGTCAGAGTGCAAGATGATGTTCAATTGAAGGATAAGAATACATTGTTGACAGTTCATGGTAGAGGATGCAATATGTATGGAATACTGAAAACAACTCCAGATATGCATTTCAAAGGTTCTAAAAGTTATGCAAATGAAACGTACAAACAGTATGATAGGGACCTACCTTCACATGTTTTCGTACGCTACTGCTAAACAAGACAATGAGCTTTTGACGTGTATCGACGAACAAGGTACTTTACACTTGAACGTTCATGGGTCCCCCCAGCTGCAAGTACAATGCCCTAATCAAATACACATTGGAAAGTGGCATCATGTATGTCACACGTGGTCATCATGGGAAGGTGAGGCGACTATTGCCATGGATGGTTTCCATTGCAAAGGTAACGCAACTGGGATCGCCGTGGGAGCTACGCTTAGTCAAGGTGGCTTAGTTGTTCTTGGACAAGACCAGGACAGTGTCGGTGGTAAGTTTGATGCGGAACAAAGTTTGGAAGGAGAACTGAGCGAACTTAATCTTTGGAACACGGTTCTGAATCACGAACAGATTAAATATTTGAGTAAGTGTGCGCATCCTTCGGAAAGACATATCCATGGAAACATAATTCAATGGGATAAAACACAATTTAAGGCTTACGACGGAGTTGTTCTTTCTCCTAACGAAATCTGTGCTTAGATGACGTATAAAAAAAGAGCTTGGAGGCCGAGAACTAAATTTTACTTCAACTGTTTGTTTGTAAGTGGCTTTTTTATACATTAAATGTTTTTATATGATATAGGTTGATCGCTTTCGCATTGTTTAGACATTTAACAGTTTGATTTTCCATTTAATCCTGAAATGTTAGTGTTTTTGAAGTAATTCTTAAATTCGAGGTTTTATGTACAATGAAATAATGAAAATAAAAGTTTATATGTCTTAGTCCTTCGTGTGATACATCTTTTCTGGTGTCTTCGAATTTTGAGATTCTCAGCGTTAAAGAACAAAAACTTAATGAAGTTGCTGCACATCCAACAAAACTGCGTATGCACTTTATCCCAAAAAAGAATTCGATACCGAACAATAATAAAAAATGGTTTAGTTGGGAAAACAAAACAAACCCCATAAAAACTTTTAACTTGACTTTATTTAAAAACAAATAAAGCCTATTTGAAAATTAGCAATACAAGTTAGTCCTTACTTTTGTCAGTATACTCATTCAATTTAATCATTTAGTTAGCACGTAACCCTAACCAACTAGTTTTGAAATGGATAGTGATTTTATTTAACTATCGGTATGTCTTTGCGGTAGATAGAGTTGTTTAAAAAAGATTTACTGTCGATAATTAATTGGTTAAACTGTGATAGCATATATGCACTTACGCTTACAAATGAAATTTGATTTGTTTCTAGGAAAATTCCAGGATATTCTTTAATAAAATATAATATCGGGATAACACTATGCGCAACTTAATAAAACTGTATGAAACATTGTACATTGTTTAAAAGAAAAGCATATTACATAATAATAATACAGTTAAACCCGTTAGAGCGCGCCCCGATATAATGAGGTCAATGTTTGGCTCCCAATTTTCTATCGCTAAATTCTCGAGTTTCGAAGTTTTCAATTAAGATTTTGTAGTGTAATTTAACGATTTTGCGAGGTTGTTTTTGTGAGAAAACAATGCTGCTTTCTAGATGGCAGCCCAGTATATAAGAGCTGAACAAAAAAGCGATTCTAACGCCCGCTCTATCGAGGTAATATATAAAATGTACCTCATCTGAAATATGCCAAACTCTCTTTATCACTCTCCGGTTTACATTTTGGGCCAGGGGTGGGGGGGAACTGCCCAGGGGGCCCTAGCGAATGAAACCTGGTTATGCCGTAAATCATCTTTAGGCTATATCTTTATTTAATGATAAAACCCATAGTTTTGTCTGTTCTTTGCATATAGACGCTTGATACATTAAGAACGACTGAAATAATAATTTGAGTAATAATTAATATGTATTTGTTACTTTATAGATTTAATAGATATTTGTTGTTACTTTATTAACGTTTTTACGCTTATACTGTGAGGTAAAAACGGCTGCTGCTATGATTTAGTCTGGTTTATGAGCTCGTTGCTGTCATAATTTAGGATCTTCTTTTTAATAAGTTCTTGAAAATGTTAAAAGAGAGAGAGAGAGAGAGAGAAAGGGGGCCCGGAGAGGATGTTTGTCCCGGGGCTCGTGCTTGCTCTCGATGTTCCTGCCCCGGGCTTACACCTTCACAAAATAGGTAAGCTAAAGACAAATAAAACACGCTTCAAAACTCTTGCTACTACTTATTACGAAAAAACAAAAAACTTCTCAACAAAAATAACTGAACTTCTAGAAACACCATATAACTACATTACATCGCTATAAAAACAGAACACACGCCCCCCCCCTTTTTGTCAGGTTACCGACCAGAAACGGACATTGTTTAATGATTATGCAATTAGTAAAAGTGTTAAGTTGTATCTATTACTCCTGAATGGCCAGGTGGTTATGGCGCTCTACTCGCAATCTGAGGGTCGCGGATTCAAATCCCTGCCCCACAAAACATGCTCGGCCTTTCGGCCGTGGGGGCATTATAATGCGACGGTCAATCCCAATATTCGTTGATAAAAGAGTAGCCCAAGTGTTGGCGGTGGATGGTGATGACTACTTGCCTTCTCTCTATTCTAACACTGCTAAATTATGACGGCTAGCGCAGATAGCCCTCGTGTAGCTTTGCGCGAAATTCATGACAAACAAATACTCCTGAATTGTAATCTCTGATTTATCGTTAACTCTTGCTTGTATTGATTACTCTATATCATTGTTGCCACAAATTGTTATTGTAACTGTGAATTGTTAATAAACAATGGTTCTGGTCTTGTGTTCGTTATTGGGCAGGGTGCGTCGGCTCCGTTCGCCGTGTAGACTCGTGCGCCAGACTGGAAACTTAATATCTTTCATCACTTCAACAACAGGAAGAGGAACGCATCTCTGGTCTCTCTTTCCGGCTTTTATTCCGCTCGCTTGATCCCAGTAACCTACTAAAGCAAATTAAAAACACGAAAAACATTGTCACGTCCCCCGGAGTTTTATTTAGTACACAAGCCAATGAAGGGGCGAACTAATTTCTGACCACCCCTGAGTTATCAAACAGCCTATTTGTCTTCTGGCATTTTGAGGTGTTTTTTCTTAAACCTGTGCATAACCTTTGGTTTTTACAATTTTATATGCTTATTTTTATTGTACATGATGGATAAATCTTCAAGTAAACGCATGTTATTTACTGTCAAAGATAAACTGTATGTTTTGGATCAAATTAAAAACGGCAAACAGCAAAACTCAGTTTGACCGTGTTCATGGGATTAGTGAATCCACCCCACGAGGTTAAAAAAAAAAAAAAGGAACAAAAATTGACAAACCGTACTTTATGTTTTTCTTGTTCTTAAAATGGCTGGGATATAAAATAAGAAAAGTTAAGTAGAAGATATGCGTAGCAAGAACTGGGTATACTGGGTATCTGAAGCTGTGGAATGAACAAGAAAACATCGCATGCAAGGGACATAGAAAACGACCATTTGTGGGTACCCAAAAATAAAGCGACCACACATTTAACGCAATCGCATTTCGTGGACCTCAACCATCGCCTTATAACGGGATTCTACTGTAATCTGGGCCGTCGGGGTTAAGCTTAGCTGAGACAATTTTTTCTCACGGTCAGCTCTACGTAACTCTACCAGGGGTACGGTCATTCGATCGGTTAAAAATCTGTGTCCTTGATGGCGCAAATACTGAAACCGTTTTTTATAAGGAAGTTTTGTAAACAACTTTTTCAATGTGAACATGATACTCTTTTAGTTTTAGACCGTGGCTTGAAAAACCATAACTCGACATATTCGAGTTTCGAAACGTTCTACTGGCAGAATAATTTAATTTGGGAAAATAAACGTCCATCCGTTGCGCATTAATATAAAGAGTAAAAAAATACACAAAAACAACTATTCGTTTGTTTTAAAGCAAATCCACAGTGGGATATCTGCTGTGTCCACCACGGAGACTCGAACCCGGATTTTAGCATTGTAAGTCTATTAACTTACCACTGTCCCACCAGAGGGCCAACGATAGGTGTAAGCATGAGTATAGCTGTAACGCCCACTAGTTTGTTTGTTTGTTTGTTTTTTGAATTTCGTGCAAGCTACATGAGGGCTACTTGCGCTAACCGTCTATAATTTAGCAGTGAAAGACTAGAGGGTAGGCAACTAGTCATCACCACTAACCGCCAACTCTTGGGATGTTTGGTGGGACGAGGATGTAACGCCTACTAAGATTGGCTTTTTATGGATGCATGTTAATTCCTGTGCGTTTTGTTGAAATTTAACAAACAATTTTTCTACTACAAAACTTTTATGTAATGCTGTAGAATCAAAATGAGCTTTTAAAAGCCAGTTATCAGAGTAATCTTTATGTCGTTTTATGCTAATGAAAAAATTCTACTTTTTCATATTTTAAAGAAAATAAACATGTTTGAATATACGTTTTAGAGTTTCTAATAATTTTGCAGTGTAATTTTCTAAAACGTTTTTTAAAATTCAATGTTTTGTCGAGTTCCGAGAATTCTGTTAATAAGTCCAAAAAATCGAAGGTGGGGGTGGGGGAGTTAAAAAAAACTCTTTTAGAAAGTTTGTTTGTTTGTAATTAAACACAAAGCTACACAATGAGCTATCTGTGCTCTGCCAACCACGGGTATCGAAACCCGGATTCTAGCATTGTAAGTCCACAGACGTACCGCTGTGCCACTGGGGGACCTTTTAGAAAGTGTATATGTTAGTGACCAAATATTCGATTTTTGTAGTTAGATCAGAATGTGAATTGAGTGAAATACACTTTTTTTTGCTTTCGGATTTTGACACATTCTACAAGTGTTTCTTTATGGTTCTAAAGATTAGCAAAAATTACCCTATCTGTTGTTTGTTATTAAGCACAAAGGGTTATCTGTGCTCTGCCCACCGATAACCGGTTTCTTGCGGTATAAGTTCACTGTGCCATTGGGGGCTACACGATCAGTATTTACATTATATAATTAGTATACGTCACTTTAATGAGGCTGGATATACTTCATTACTTATTATTTAATTTCTGTAGTGCATATTGGTGTATTAAAGACATATCAATGTCAAAGACATATAACACTAAAATGTTGCTTTTACTTAATTAAACACTCAACGTTTTGCTTTACAGCTTATAATGTTATATTAAGGAGTATTGTATGTAGAAATCTCAACAGTTTAAAACTCTTCTTCCTATTAAAATTAGTAAATTTGGCATTATTTAGTTTGCATTTTGTTAATTCTACTTTTTAAAGATACACGAGGCAAAAAAAAAAAGACATGATATTCTATTGACTCGTTGGCATTACACTTATGAAAAAACAGACATGCATCCATAATACTGCATATAAATAGCATTTCAATATTGGCTGCGGTTAAGATCTGATGATGAGTTCTAAAAAAATACGCAATAAAAACTCTTATACTTGCGGCAGTTAAAACTACATTTGTATTTTGTAGTTATGGCAAAACTAGGAAGACTATTTGTCACCATCTTTAATTTTGAACTACCTACCAAAAGAAAGAAAGCCAATCACCAACATCCTACCAACCATGCTAAGGGCTTGACTATCACTCTTATGTTGCAGTCTCAGCTTAAAATAAGGGGAATATTTTATGACATCACATGGAATCGAAACTGGCTTGCAAAGTCTGAAATCTGAAGCTCTACCATAGGGCCAGCTGTACTCAGTTAAAAAAACAGAGTTGAAATTACACTGTTACACTTCCAGTTTGGAATGTGTAAAAACACAAATTCTGCAATTTATGAGACTTTTAATCACTACTTTTAGGCTTACAAAACACCTTTCTTTACCATGTAATACCAATGTTCCATCAAGTAATACATTATATGTCTATTATTTGTTTTCAATTTTTAAAGAAATTGGTGTCAATAAAAAAAAAAAGTTTTATCTTTTTTATTCAAAAACCCATTTACAATTATTAGTGGCAACTTTGTAGCACCAGGACCACCAGTATGCGATACTGACGTGAATGAGATCATTATTAAAGATAACATACTTTTAGATTATTTTGCCATTGCCACTTCTTCATATTGCAATTCATATGAAGTTAATACAAATAACAACTTGTATCACAAGCTTATTTTGAAATATCTTTCATTTTAAGAAAAACAAAAGTTGTAAGCCAATGTTATATTTGTATTTACTCAAATTAATAGTGGTTAATGTAGATTCTAGCAGAATTGTGTTAAATAATTCTATTTTGTTGCTACCATAATTGAAATAATGAACTGTCTACTAGGCAGAAAACTTTGTGGTACAATTGACATTACTAACTAGCATGTCCAAAAACTACTAGTCCAAAGCATGTAGAATTCTAGTGATGTTCAGATATTGCCCACATTTTTACTATACACAGCGATCACAATAGGGACAATTTGACTTTTCCAGGATCTTCCAGCAAAAGATTATATTTTCAGGGTTTTCTAGGAATCATGGAAGCTGTTTAGATATGTGTTTGTTTTTAAATCTGTATATCAGCCAAATCATCTAATATTGTCACTGAATATCATCTAAAGCAGGTTAATTTTAGTTGTATAATCACTAGGAGTGGCTTTTCAACTTACAGACTTTACACCAGACATTTTGAACCCGCAATATTCGAAAAACACCATTCCCCAGTTTTTGAAATATCATATCTCCTTAAAGAAGTGTTAATTATGTTTATATATATGCAGGAAGCATGCGGATCTGCATTTCTTGAAGAAAATCCGCTTAGAAAAATGCATAATTCTATGCAAGTACAAGGTATGATTTAATTAAATATTTAACAATTTAGCCATTAGCAATTTCATGAACAGATAAACTTGAAAGCAACTGAATAATTACACAAAGCTTATGTAAAAAGTTTATAAACTATGGAGATTTCATTATTTATCTGGATTGACTAGGCTAAAGAAGAGAAAATGAATATTACACATTTACCATGTTTTTGAGTTTCTAGTCAAGATACAAAAAATGACCTTCATAACATGTAAGTTCACCTTTGAAAACCCTAATTTGTGGCTGTCTATCATTACATTTAACACTTCTGATATTCAAGAAGTACCTTTTAAACTTAAGTTTATTAAAACCTACAAAACTTATAGTACAGATTTACTTATTGTAATTTCAGCGAGACAAAAAAGTCCAAACTATGTGAAAATGTTTCTAATTGTCAAAATTTTAACATTGATACAAGTTTTTCACAAAAAAATGTTTATTTCTATAAAAATTGTGAAGAAAAAAACGATATTTTTAAAAAATGACGGGGGGGGGGAGGAACAGAATTTATCAGAGAAATGTAAGTAAAAGGGGTGGAAACTTTATAACAAAACTTGAACTTGTAAATAAATATGTAATAGCAGGATACAATATTTATGCATTTTAACAGTTTTAATTTATTCCTTATTCTATTTGTTCAAAACTGAGCTATCTGAAAAGCTGTAAAATTCAGCCAAAAATTGCAAAAATGTAAATGGCTTTAATTAATGACATGAAACACTTCATCTCTACATTAGCTAGTTCAGAGTTCATATGTTGCTGAGGTTGCTGTCATTGCATTGTATAGAAAGGTATTGTTGAAAGGTACATATTGACCAGTTATAAGTTTGATGACTTCCTGAGCACCAGTTCCTCCAATGAATGCTGCCACGGAATGAAGTTCTGCTGCTCCATAACGACACCTGAGAAAAAAATGCTTAAGTTCTTAATTTTTTTTTATTATTTTATCAAAGTACACTTTACCAGAAAGAAAGTCTCGTTTTTAGAATCAGACTCTAATTTTGCTTGGACCTGTTTGGCCATTATGACAGATTTGTTCAGCTGTTTGTACAAGCATTCAGCCACAAAGAAATTATTTTCCAAAATTTAATAAAGCTGACAAAAATCAAAACTTCACATATTCACCAGATGTACTGATATCTAAAAACATTCATTAAACAAATGGGCCATTCTTTTTCATAAGATATATTTGGCTTTGATAATTTAAAAACAAAAACAGATATTGCTGTACTGCTTTGATACTTTATAAGACAGTTAAGTAGTCAACATTATAACTCTTAGCAAATACATATATATTTAAGGTAAACAACTAAAATGAAACAAAATATTCAATTTTTTTTTTCGTTGATCTTGTTGTATGCCCCCTCCCCCTTTATAATACTTTTTTAAAATCTCTTTAAAAAATGTTATGGTTAAAAGAAAATTTTCAATGAATGGTCCAACATTTCATTATAAAAATAATCATTGAAATGTTTTATAAATGTACCTAAAAAAGTTTAAATATTCAAGAATTGTTTCTGGTTACCTCACTCAAAGTTATAAATTTTAATATTTGTGCTATGTCTTAAAGGTAATTTTCCTAGCTGTAATAACTGACTTGTTACTAAGCTACCTGTATCTTGTAATTTACCATAAACCATCACTTTAAATAATGAATTTGTTTTTATATCTCAGATACTTAATATATTATTCAAAAAAGCTATCTGTAACATAAAAAGAAGGGAAGTTAAACAATCATAGCTACTTCAAGACTGCTATCTTAGCTCAAGGAAGGCCCTTATTTAACTCAGTTTCTTAAAAGTGAAGCCACTTTATTGTTCTCACAGGCAACCTATGGCAAAGAAAATATACATGGGAAATTATGTTTGTTTTAATTTTCACTCGTCTTATTGGGTTAAATGTATCATTACATCTTAACATTTGTCATGGATTAGTGACTGCTATCTCCAGGCCAGTTTTACAAAAATTTTAAGACATATTTTATTTAATAACATCTTGTACTGGAAAATATGTATGAACCTGTAAAACTACTGTTCTGTTGGGCACCTTCAGTTTTGATTTCACAAATGTGCTCCATTTGAAACAAACACTTTATATGATTGGATAACCTAATCACTGTGATTGGATAACCTAATCACTGTACATTCAACTTACATTTCATGAACATAGTCATCTTTAGCTAATGGTGCACAGCCCCATTCTTGAAGTATTCTGCATAAACACGTCTGGAAAAAACAAAGGCAAAAATATGCTTAACAAAAATATTTCTACTTAATGTATTGTATTTGAAAGGATTTCTTTTTTCTGTTTACAGATTTTCTTCCACAATAATCCAATACTAGGAAAACATGTTTACTTTTTATCATAAGTAACAACATGCAGGTTTACCTCTAGAAATAATTCAAACATCGATCTATGTCTAATGATGTTCAAAAGAAATAACTGAAACAAATACAAGAATTCAGAATATATAACTATTCTTGTGAGGGTTATATAAAAGCACAATGAATATACTGTGACGCTTTTGTTTTTTTTTAAGTTTTAAGAAGTGAATATAAAAGTTATCTCAAGAAATTGATAAATGAGACTGTTTGCAATGCCTCTATTTAATAATTTGACACTTTTATTACCACAGTCTCATTTAGTCAACTATTATAACATTGCCATAGGGTTACAAGTCAAGTTTCACAACCATACTGTTGTTGATGGTTAATTTAAAAATATTAAAACTACTAAGATAAGAAAAACAAATTAATTGCAAAAGTAATACAATAATTTATCGTGGTATGACAGCTATAAAGTTCAGAAAATGATATACCAATCAGAATAAAGTTATTCATATACTAACCTTCAACTTGATAATATCTGGTTCAACCTGATCATCAAAATAACCAGGAAACCGGTTAAATTCTGTGTAGAATCTGTCTACAGCTCGTAGCATCACATAGAAAACCATTTCACTATCAGGGTTATTCAAGTGCGTTACTGTCAAAGCAAACAAAAACCAGAGCATTCTTAGTGAAAACGACCAGCATTTAGTAAAGCTTTTATTACTGTTAAGAGTTATGATTTTACCCTACATTGCTGATTTAGTTTTAAGCGATTAACCTTGAACCAGTAACATAAGGTAATTTCTTGCAGATCAGGCAACGTCCCCACCATTACTAGTCGTGGGAACGATGGAGAGCTTGAGGGAGGAAATTTAACCTTACTGGTGCGTAAAAAAGAAGCGTTGCTATACCATTATACGCGTACCGTAAATTTAATTTTAACACGTAGATTGTTGATATCTAAATGAGCTACATTAATTTTCTTCTGTTGTTTTTATACAGGAAACATGAAAACATTTCACGGGCCGACTTGCGGGACTGCTGTGTTCCTCTACCTACTATTATTTCTAACTTCTGCTCTGGAGGAAGGTGAAATTATTGTGAAGACAACCCGATTTTTAAAACTTATAACTGTAGCATTGATGAGGAAACAATTGGATAGCACAAAGGATTAGCATCTGATTTTAAAGTAGGGTAAGTCTAAAAACTTTCGCTTGCTTATTTTCTGGGTAATACATCAACTGTCGCTTTTAATTTGAAAGAAAAATTTACAGAAATATTAAAAGTAAATAATTTGTTAAAGCATACAATTCAGCATTATGCCTAATGACATAGGAATATAAAGAACAACTTAATTAATAGCGATTCGTATTAGAGAAGTGTAAACTCACGATCGTAAAG